AAAGTCGGTTCTGGCCTGATGAAGGTCCTGTCACCTTGGGGTCATTTTCCCAGGGAACTTGCTTTAATCATGGATTAACAGAAACCCAGGTGGGATTACCCCTGCCCTCAGGTAGCCCACAGGGACAGTGGGACTGTGGTCCCCCCTGCTGGTCTGTGTCTTTATTACGAGGCTCTTACTCTGATCTCACCTGATCACAGTTGGAATTTCCTTAGGCCTCCTAAACTGTTCTTAGAAAGCAACTGTTCTTCAAAACTCCTTCCTCCCTCCCCTCCCCCCCCCCAGTTCTACATATCTATCTCTTGGTCGAGAAATAAATCTCAATTTGGTTTAAAAAAAAAAAAAATTGGCAGTGGGTAGGAGAAGAAGTGCACAACCCTTTTTCCAGAGAAGCGGGTGAGCTGCAGGAATAAAGACTGTATTCCCGGATCATCTGTAGCTTCTCAGAAGGTGGGCCGCCCCCTTCTTCCCGGCTGTGCTGGGGTTACAGTTGCCGGTGGTGTGGGATTGGAGGCCTCCAGTGTATTACCCTGGAGCCAGTAGTTCCGGGTCGCTGCCCCTTTGCCAAGCCTATGTGCAATACCCCCTCGGTGCTTTAGTGCAGGAAGCCCATTCCAGGAAGCATGGGAATGCCGTCTTTCGATTTCGGGACTTGCGAGTAAGGCTGGGAAGAAACTGGCCTATGCATTTTTTTTTTTAAACGTTTATCTTTACCATCTTACTCGTTTATAAAATTCTAGTTCCTTGAGTGACTGAAACACCAATATTTTTATCACTTACTCATTCGCACTTTAATTTTCTTCCTTCCAGACTTGTTCTCTGGACATCTGTGGGAGCGAGGGCTAGAGCAGGGCGAGGACGGGCTGCGCGCTCCCTCTGATGGTGTTGGTGGCTCTGTTCTCCCCTTTCCCCTGCCCTCGCCTCCCCTTTTCAGTTTGCTGTTCAGGGAACTCGTGCTGAGGGGAGTTGAAATTCACAGGCCAGGGCATGTCTTTTATTTATTTAATTATGTTGCCCAACAGAACTTGATTGTAAATAAAAAAGAAATCTGTTATGTACTTTTCACACTCCATGCCTCTTGGTAGTTATTTTATTCTTCTTTATCCTTAAGGGCGAAAAGCTGGGTTTTTTTCATTTGTTTTCCTGGTATTCATTCATTTGTAAATGATGGTTAATACTGTCCCCGTGCCTTTCCTTATTGTTCATCATTTAAGCCCAAGGTATTACTGTCTGTAAACGTCAGCGTTCCAGTTTCACGTCATTTGCAAATCTTAACTGGAACCAGAAAAGGGTCTCTTCGAAATTTCGGCAGCTGTGCGGTCTGCTCCACGCTGCAGCAGTACGAGCTTCCTGTCCCTGCACTGCAGACTTTGTTCACAGGATTGATAGTGAACTGTATGTGTCTCCCAGCCGCCAGGCCTCTTCTTCGCTGAAGGGACATGAATTTCCTCATTGAAGAGTGATTTATTCGTAGCAGCTCAGATATCTAGCAAGCGGCCGTGTGCCATAACAAATTAGGGTCTCCCTGATATATCCCACCCCCACCCCCAAGGACCCCTGTCCAGCCCATTACCAGGCGGTAGTCCAGCAGCTTGAGTCAGGATTCCATCATGATCTGGAGTCTCAGAGGCAGCCAGCAATCTCCAAAAAGCGGAACGTGGGGATCCTGTTGCAGTCGCCTTCAAGGAGGTAAGTCTCATTCTTCAAAAAGGCTGAAAGTAAACATTGTCGTAGCCTCTGATTATCCTGGGGGGGGGGGGGTTTTGACCTTGGAGGGAAGCAGGACTGCTCTCTGCTCTTAACAAAGATGTTTCAGTTTGAGATCCATCCATACTGTAAAGCTCTCTTCAGGTCACCTGACTGCCAAGGCTGGGTTACAGGTATGGCTTCCATTGGGTGGAACATGCTTCCAGCCAGCTCATGGTCTTCATTCTCTTTTTCTCAGATCATCTGGGACCCTCCTCCAGTGCTGCTGGTTTCATTGGTCAGGGTGGGAGGTGGGCATGGGGTTTTTTCATTTCCCAGGTGAATCCTGACTGGTTAGAGCTAGCGTGCTCCCCTGCAGGTGTTGTGGGCTTTGATCCAGACGTTAGCATATCTCGGGCTGAGAATTAAAGACTTTTAAAATTTATATTTCCTAGGTGGTTTCCCAAAATAGTGTGATATATCAAGTTCTGTGCCTTATTCTTATAGCACATACTGTGCACACATTCACTTTTACCTTTATCTTGTGAAGCCCCGATGCATCTTTCATATCACAGCACACAGGATATTTTGTGGGGACACTGGGGCAAGTGGATGAAGCTGCTCTCAGCTGGGAGGGGCCAGCCGAGGCCCCAGGGGCGTGTTTGTTGGGAAATTCCAGGGTTTGGAGTGTACCAAGGTGTGCGGAGCTACTGTGTGTCTTCACATCTATAGCACAACCGTGATCAATCGTGATCTTGGGGAATCTGACAATTTGAAATGTAGACCTGAAGCTCGCCGCCTGGGTGCAGCACCGGGAGAGAAGGGTGGCAGTGATGAAACCTCGTGCAGGACTGCTTGCCAGGCTGCAGAAGCCACCAATGTTTGTTTTTATGAGATGTCTTGGATAGTAATAAGGAAGCTATGGCGCTCAAATTCTGTCAGATCTGAAGTGTATCCCATTTCACAAATGGGGGGAAGTTTCCCAGCGAAGCAAAAGGCTGTTCCGGAGTCCTGGCCCCCAGGTGGGCATTGGTGCCCCATCCAGCCCTCCACGTGAGCCAGCGGGAAGTGCCTCTTCGGGGGCGAGGATGAGCTGCCCGTGTTTGTCTTTATTCCACTGCGTCTTTTCTCTTGTGTCTTACTGTAAGGCTCATTCTCACTAGAAATCCCAAATTTTCAAGCCAATAAACTTTGGGAATCTTGAATAAAGTGAAATATATCTGTATTTGCATAGATTGTGTAGAAACACGTAGGATGTGTGGTACGTGCCAGTGAAAGATTGGACTCTGATCCAGAAAGTGATTCTTGCCTCCCTCCCTCACCTCGGCAGAATCGGATTCTCTCACCTCAGGGAGCCCTGGTTTCCATCTGTGCTGCTGAACTCTCCCCTATGTTCACTCCAGACGCTTCTCGCATCCTGTCTGTGCTCTGGCCATGGTGGACCCTTCAGGCGCTTCTGCTCTTACTCATCTTGCTGGGGGCCGAGCTGCCCTCTTCCAACCCTGAGTGGCAGGCATGATGGGAACATCCACGTCTCTGGGGGTCCAGAACCCGAGGAGGCGAAGGAAACACCAATGTAGCAAGGTGTACCTACCTGCCCCTCAGTACCATTGCCAGAGTACTTTACAGCAAGGTTCAAGCATGTCATTTTCCCCATGAATCAGCATGCATCCCAACCTAATAAGGACACCATGCCGCAATTACACCTCACCGAATTAAGTGACCCTGTTATCCACTATCCAGTCTATATTCAAATTTTCCTGACTGTTCCAATGTTTTTTATGATTACAACCTCTTAGAACCAGGTGGTTCTAAGTAGTCGTAAGCCAGAAGTCTTGGGATCAGCCATATCCTTGACACCTTGACATTCACGTGGTGCTTGGCACACAGTGGGCACTCAGTAAAGTTTTTATTTAGTAGAACTGAATCAGCAAAGAAACAAGTGAATCAGGATCCGGTGAGCTTTTTGCTGCATAACAAACTGCCATGACATGGAATGGTTTAAAGCAAGTACTATTTCTCCTGATTCTGTGAGCGGGCGTAGCCGGCTGGATTGGGGGCAACTGGTAGAGGGTGGCCTCACTCGTATCTGACTGCTAATGTGCCATCAGCAAGGGGAACAAGGATGATGCGGCAAGAAATCAAGCGTCTGTGGGACCGCTTGTCGCTCTGCCCGGTCACCTCCGTTACACCCCGTTGGCTAGAGCAGGTGGCACGCGCAGCCCGGCCTCTGAGTGGGACTGCGGAGCAGAGTGGGGACAGGGAAGGGACTCGCCTTGGCGGTTCTGGCAACTGGTGTGCCACGCTGCATTTGGTTGACTTTCCTCATGTAAGCTCTGTGTCCCACTTGGGAATGTAGCCCTGGAGATTGCTATGTGCCAGGCTCTGGGGATTTGGTCCAACCCTAGGACCTGGAGAAGAGAGCAGGGGAATTCAGGCTTTGGGCTTCATTTTTCCAGAGGAATGGACTTCAGAGACAATGGGAAGGTATGCTCGTGAGCCAGGCCCATAGGAAGACAAGCTATACGCGGTCTAGTTTCTAGATAGAAAGCCATACATTCCATTGCTCCCCGGAGTACGTGCCCAGGTGCTTCTAAGAGGTCGTAAGCCAGAAGTCTCAAGATCAATCATATCCTTGACATCTTGACATTCACGTAGTACTTGGCACAAAGTCTTTATTTAGTAGAATTGAATCAGCAAAAACAAAGTGAATCGTAACCAGCTAAAAGGAAGAGTAAGAGGGAGAGTAGTTTAAAAAAATAAGAATAAACCACTTAGCAAGGGTAAATATTGTTTCATAGGAGTGTTGTGTATATATGTGTGTATGTACTGGGTCGCGGTGTAAAATATTTTTTTCTACTATTTTTAAATGTACTGAGTTGAAATTCAGCTAACATAAAATTAGTCATTTTAAACTGAACAATGGCATTTAGCACATTCACAGTGTTGTACGAGCACCACCTCTACCTAGTTCCAACAAAAAAGCGTATTTCTTAAACTGGATTAGTGTCCATTTTTTTTTCCAAACTTTGGATCGATAGCAGTTGATCTGTCTGTAGAAAAGCGCGGGCCCTCGTCCTGCTCAGCTTGGGCTGCCATAATGAAATACCGTAGCCTGCATGGGTAGATATCATAGACCTTGCATTTGTTCATGCTTTTTTTTTTTTTTTTTTTCCTGTACGTGGGCGTCTCACTGTTGTGGCCTCTCCCGTTGCCGAGCACAGGCTCCGGACGCGCAGGCTCAGCAGCCATGGCTCATGGGCCCAGCCGCTCCGCGGCATGTGGGATCTTCCCGGACCGGGGCACGAACCCGTGTCCCCTGCGTCGGCAGGCGGACTCTCAGCCACTGCGCCACCAGGGAAGCCCTGTTCATGCTATTATTACTTCTTTAATAAACATCATTGAAATTTTTAAAAAAGAACAAAAAAACCGTAGCCTGAGTGGCTTAAACAACAGAAGTGTCTCACACTTCCAGAGCCTGGAGTCCGAGCGGCAGGCACTGGCGGGGTAGACTTCAGTTCATCCTGAGGCCTCACTGCCACTAAGCTGTGTGCTCATGAGACTTGTTTGTGCACAAGGAGAGTGGAGAGCCTGTCAGATCGGAACCACACTGATGACCTCATTCAAAGGCCCCACCTCTAAATACCGTCACACTGGGCGGTAAACGGGCTTCAACACGTGAATCTGAGGGGACACATTGTGTGTAACAAACTTCTCCAGAAGGCTCTGCCTAATTTTGCTCAACTTCAGGTGTAAGCAGCGCAGTTTGTGGTCAACTCCAAGTTCATTACCATCGAAACCCCCTCTAGCGTCAGGGCCCATGTGGCAGGACCAGAGGGTGAAGAAGCTCTCACCTCAGAGAGGACGAAGGAACATCCATCAGGATCCTTTTCAAGACCTTGTCTGCACATTTGATGCATTTCCCTGACCCTGCAAGCCAGGGCAGCTCGTGGGCTCCCCTTCTACAGATGGAGAAAAGCAAATAGCAGTGAGGCCAAGCTAGTTTCTCAAGATGGCAGTGGATTCGTCAGTGAGCGACGGAGCCCAGGACTCCAGTCTGGGGCCGTTTGTACAACTTGGTCCTTCTGCACAGAAACCTGGAGCATTAAGTACTGATGTCAGTGTGATGCTTCAAGATGGACATTTGAGATCTGTCTGGGTGTGGGAGGGTTTCAGTGCCCATGTGGCTTGAGCACCTGTGTTCTAATCATGAAAGACTGACGTGTGGAAGAGATTGGATTAACTTGGAGCAACGCAGAGAAGTAGAAGGGAGGCTGATTTCCATCCTACAAAAAATTTTCTCACACTTCATGCTATTTCAAAGAAAAGTGGTAGTGATTTCCCTGTCCCTGGAAGCATTCAACAACTTCTGTGGCTATTGTAGAGGAGATCAAAGCAAGGGATGGAGTGTAGACTAAACGTTTTTCAAGGGTCTCTGCCCGTTGGGTTGCATTTATGATTTCAGACATTAGCCAGCCCAGCCCATAAAAACAGCCCTCTGTTCTTAAGGCCAATTGACTAAGTGGTACATGTTGAAATGAGGGTGGCTTTTAAAAGCTCTGATTCCCTGGCACTCTGCATAAATACAGTAGCCTCAAACTTGTCAAGTGCTCTCTGCTTCAGTAAAACTAAGGCAAGGTTTTCATTTTGTAGTTGACGGTTAGCAGACTGAACCAGTTTTCCTCATGTGTGTGCCCTAGTAAGCCCCTAAGATGATAACCTAGCCCCAAAACCTCTAAGCTTCTTAGCTGCATATCCCGACCTCCCACCCCCTCGAGCTGGTGCTGCGTTTGATGTTGGGAAATGAAACACAGGACTCGCAGCTGCTTCTCACTGGATGCTGACTCCAGAGAAACAAGTATCGTATAGCCAGTGAGTGGTTCTTAGACTTTGAGCATTAATAGACCAGTAAATTTCTAAAAGAATTGTAGAAAGAGGTGGATAACTTTTTATTTTGGCCAAGTAAGGGTTTTTTTTTTTTCTAAATTGCCATCTACGCTCATCTCTATAAAAGGAAGGACACTTTGTCCTTAGGCTTAGCGGCTGCATTCTGACATTTGTTGATTGTCATAGTGTCTGCAATTTACTTTCAAATGGTTCAAAAGGAAAAAAGCAATAGAGATAGATGAGCACATGCAGTGAAATGTTCATTGTCGAATCTCCATGTTGACTATGTAGGTGTTTATTATACTATTCCAGCCTTTCTCTGTATGCTTAAATTCATAATCAATTGTAGGAAATGCAAAACTAATGGCAGAAGGCAAATCAGTGGCTACCTGGGACCAGGAGTTGACTGAAATGGGTGCCAGGGAACTTTTAGGGGTGATGGAAATGTGTCTTGATCATAGTGGTGGTTAAAATCATCAAACCACGCACTTAAAAATGGGTAGATTTGGTTGGATGTGAAGTATATCTCAATAAAGATTGGGAGGAAGAAGAAGGACATTTTAATATTTAAAAGTTTAAAACTTCAAATAAAAAAAATAGAAAAATTTAGAACTTCATAACCTTAGAACAAAGGACAGTCCTTTATACTGAATAATTTGGTTCTATGAAAAAACTGACAAGAGTGTCCTTATTTTTCTCATTTCTCCACCAAGCAGAGAAAAATGCATTACAGACCAGGGGCTGGGAATGACTACCAGAGACTACCGTTTCCAAAAAGAGTGAGGTCTGGCATGCAGTGCACCCCAGATTTTCCTACCTGCCCGGCATTGGCAGGTCAGTGACTGAGACCTGCACCCTTGGGGGCCTGGAGCTAACACAGCTGCGGGAGAACAGGAGAACGGGGGTCCCAGGAGCACCCACAGCTCAGGGCAGCCCTTCTGATGGGGACACTGAATGAAGGGCCCCAGTCATTTTTCTTCCTTTTTTTTTTTTTAAGGGACAAGAAAAGATTTCTTCAAAACAAAACCTAACATTCCCTTCACACAGACCACCAGTGTCAGCTCTTTGGTGTCTGTCCTCGTAGATTATGCATATAGTGTGCACGATAACACACATGTGTGCATGTATATCCATACATAGACTTGTGCGTTTGCAAAATGTGATCATACTGTACATACCATCCTATGACCTTCTTCAGTCACAATCTCTACCTTCCTAGTCCAGTAATTTCCATCCTGCGTGTCAGAGCTCATATGACATATTACTGATACATTATTAGAGCATATTCAGATTTCCCCAACAGGCCAGAAATGGACTGTACATCCTGTTTGTCCATTTGGGACCACACAGTACATCTGGATGTTCCTTAAGTGTCTTAATCTAATGCATCTCTTTCCTATGACATTGACTTATGAAAGAGATCAGCCACTTTCTACATTCATCTGGTAGCTCTCTTGTGGTCTCATTTAACTATTCCTTGTATTTCCTAAAAACGAGAAGTGATGTCTAAAGGCTTGATGGATTCCAGCTGCTGCAAGGTGACACATCACATTGGTTGACACCATTTGTGATGCAAAGATTGACATTGGACTGTGGCTGATCCCCTGTTGTATAGTTCGGCTTTGCACCTTGTGAAGAGTCATAATCTATATGGCATCACTTTGGTGTCACAGGAATAGCCATCTCCCCTTCCACACTTCACCTAATGATTTTCACACCAATAAAGAATCCTTGTCTGAGTCAATAATGTCATCAGTATTTTAAAACGTAAGTTTTACTATTATTCAGCTATGGCGAGGTCAACAGATCTGGAGACGATTGCTGTTGAAAAGATAGTTTGTTACAGTTACCAAAAAGAGGGGGCAGGCCATGCGGGGAAGCACCAGGGCCAGTCAGGAGGTAGAAGGATCAAGGAGAAAACATGGGCAAGAGTTCTTTTGTGGTTTCCATGGGCAAGAACGGGTGAGATAGGGTAAGCAGACTTAAGATTGGCTATTTACTTCAGCAGGCCCTGGAGTGCAGGGGCTGTCTCCAGTTGTCTGATACCTGGCCCCAGGGTGATTAGGGCCGGGCAGTAGTGGCTCAGAGTGTAAGAGCCCAGCAAAGGAGGAAAGGAGGCCTTTGGGGTGTATGGGCTCTGAGTTGGTTGGTTTGCATATGAAAAGCAGTCATTTATTCTCTCTAGGAAAGAGCTAGCCCTGGGATGGCAGTCTCTCCAGGGTCAGCAAAGCCTCAGATGTCAAAGCATCAGAATTACAGGAAACAAAAAGGCATGATTAATACCATCAGAGTTTGTCAAATGATGTTTTTCCAATTCTATCATTCCCTTTGCATTTATTAGCTGGCATTCCTACGTTAAAAATTTTTTAAGTTTTCTCCCTTAGAAATTAAAATTGTTCCCAACTTTAGCTATTGCCAGCCATTATACTGTTGCAATCCAGTGACTCATTGATTCGCTCAAAAGTCCACTGAGGCCCTATTCTAGGTCCTGGAGATGGGATAGGAACAAAACAGTCATAAATCTCTACAGTCCTGGAACTTATGTTGGGGTGGGGGGACAGACAATGAACAAGATAAATTATCTTGTATGTCAGTTGCTGATAAGTGCTACAGAGAAAGGTAATGCAGAGAAGGAGGACAGAAGTGTTGGGTGAGATGGTACACAATAGGATATAGATAGATAGGGTGACATTGAAGTAAAGACCCAAAGGAATTAAGGGAGTGAGCCAAGTGACTATCTGTGGGAAAAGTGTTCCAGAAGAGGAAACAGTAAATGCAAAGGCCCTGAGGCAGGTTTGAAGAAAAGCAAAGAGGCCAGTGGACTGGAGCAAAGTGGGTGAGGTGGGAAGAAGGGGGCCCAGATCATGCAGGGCCTTGCAGACATTATCCAGACTTAGGTGGGAAGCCACTGGAGTGTTTCGATAGATGCTAACACCCCAAACGTCACTTTCTGCTTAGACTGGCTTCACTCCCACACACCAGCTCAAGTCCAGTACATATATGTGTTAGTGGCCACACCATCCCATGCATTCATTCGCTGAGTATCCTGTTCTGGGCACTGGAATACAAAGATAAGGGAAACAAAACGGCATGGGTCCCTGACGTCATGGAGCCTAGAGTCAAGTATGGGAAGAGAGACGGTAAAATCATCTCCTGTACAAGCATCGAATGCAATAGTGCCTCCAACCTAGTCGGAGAGGTTGGGGAAGGCTCTCCTGAGGAAGTGACTCTTGAGCTGGAATCTGAAGGATGAAAAGAGTCAAGGAGGAAAGGAGAAGAGGATGGTTCCAGGCAAAAGCAAACAGCGAGAGGCGGTACAGGGAGATGGGGAACAGCAGGCGGAGGCTCAAGCGTGTGGCTTTAAAGTTGTGCGCCTGTAGCTGAGAGCAAGGCGAGATGCTGAGCGGGAGGGTGACTGCTCAGGGCTTGGGAGCCCCCTCTGCAGCGTGGAGAAGGATGTAGTCAGACCAGGAAAACAAAGGGGCTGGTATGGACTCAAGAGGGAGCGCTGGGGATGGGAGACTAAGATTCTGGAGACACTGGGGGCAAATTGACAGGACTCGTGATGTAATCAATAGCACGTAGGGCAGAGGAGAGGGACATGACTAGTTTGGCTTGCATAACACCAGGGTTTATCTTGAGGCTGACATTTCTCCTTGACCTTTTTGTTTATATCCCCGCCCCCAAGGTTGCGTTAGCTGCCTGCTGAGTTTAATCAATTTGGTTGAGCTCTTGAAAATCCCTTCTCCTGGTGAAACCAGGAGTGAAGGGATAATCAGTCTATTTCCAGAACCCAAAGTGGATTAAGATAAAATAGCTTTCATTTAGCTGTCATCCCTCCCCCAAACCTTCCCCACTCAAGCTTGACAGCTCCTGCGCTGGGAGCCCCTCTGGGCCCTTGTCTAATGCTTTGAACTGCTGAAACTACCATTTCTCCCGTCTCAGCACTAATCCAGTTGCCACTCTACTCCCTAAATGGGATTTGGCTTCTAGACATTAAGACCTGGGTGTGGGCACCCTCTCCAGATTCCCTACAAATTCCAGTCAGCCAGGGCCCAAGTGGGGTCATCTGTTTAGACAGAGCAAGGGCTGGCTGCCTGCTCACCCCGGAGGACACAGAGACCCTCTCCTCACCTCCTGGGACCGTCCCAGCTGGTTGCCCAAGGTATGTGGTCACCCTCGAACAAGCCTTCTCAGAAACTCAGGGCAGGGCGCAGGGAAGAGCCAGCGCCAGGAAGACTGGCATTTTCGTGTAGTCAGTCTGTCCCAGTTTCACCTTTTCTGTGTAGTTTTCATGGACGTTGCTTGTTAAGGAGCGCACTGAATTCCAGACAGCTCAGATGGCCTCTTTGTTGTGGGTAAAGCTGGGGAGTGGTGAGAGATGGCAGGAAAGGGAAAGCACCGCTCAGTATGAATTGCTGAGCAAAACTTTTGGGGATTTAACGTATTTTTAAAATGATATTCGTGAAGTGGTTATGCTGTGGTTTGCAGGGACTTTTTCTATTTTAATTGCCGTAATATATCGTCAAGATAGAATTTTAAATTCAGTCTGGCTTAATGTGACGATACCAAGGCTTAGTCTCAAAGTAAAACCTTCTCATTGGAATCTATCTGGACGTCCTGGTGAGCTTTGCTAAGAAATGTCTGAGGCTTATCAGGAAAAATAAAACACCTTTAAACAAAAAAAGCACACTCTAGTAAAATACAAACTAGACGAAGCCCTTATTTAGTCAAACGTGGGTATTGAGGCGGGTAGAAGGAAATGTCTGATGGATGTCCAGCATCTCATGTATGGGTTTTATTCACAGAATGTTCCTGACTTTATATTTAAGATGATTTTACCTTTTCCTAGCCCTCTAAAACCTGACACAACACCCCAAAGGGAAGAAGCTGCCAGGGACAGATAACATGGAGGCCAACGCGCAGGACAGTAAGTCAACACCAAACCACGTTATCTTCAAGAAGATCTCCCGGGACAAATCGGTAAGTAGTACAGAGGTGAGGGGCTTAGTAGTAATCTTTTTTTTTTTTTAAAGGAGCTTTTTCGAATAGACATAATCAACATCAAAATCTTATGAGGTCAATGGAAGCTCTATGTCTATTTTCCATCTCTGTCTGAGATGGATGATAAATGAGATATAAATGAATGAGTAAATTGCAGAAATATAAATTCTCTTTGATATCAACAAGACTTTAGTCCCAAGACCCTTAATTTTCTCCTAATCTCTCAGTCCCCAACCCCTCGCCTCCAGTTTTACCTCTTTTCCTAGCCTTGAACCCATGACTTAACCGTTTCAAACATTGTTTGGTCAGTATCTCTAACTTCCTTGACCCTTTTTCTATCATCTCACCTAACTGCCTGGTGAAAGCCCTGATGCTGGATCAATGGATCAATGCAACTCTCTACCTTCTGTCACCCACCCCAGCTGCCATGCTCTCAAACCTTGCTGGGCCTCCAGGGTCACTGGATAAGGGAGCATCTCCTGCTGCTCCCTTTCTGCCCCTCAGCACTGTGGCTGCATGGCCACCCAATATCCTGGCACTCCGCATATTTGGCAGGGACGATGCCATTGTTGGCTCCATCGGGGGCACGTTAGATAGTCTAGATGTGCCTGTGAACTTCCTGGCCTGGGACACCCTATGGAGAGCCCACCCCACAGCCTCCGAGGATGGGATCTCCTCGCTCCACTCTATGGATTCTTAGGGGCTCATAATCTAGTTCAGCACCATCCAAAGCAAGCCACATATCTAATTTAAAATTTTCTAGTAGCCATGTTAAAAAAGTAAGAAGAAATGGGGAATTCATTTTAATACTATATTTAACCCAATATATCCAAAAAACTATCATTTCAACATGTAAATGATATAAAAATTGTTAACAACGTATTTTCCCTTCGTTTTCTAAGTTGTTCAAACCTGATGTGTGTTCTACATTTATAGCACGTCAGCTTGGAGTGGCCATATTCAAGTGCTGGTGGCCACCTGGAGCTAGTAGCTGTCGTATTGGACAATGTGATTCTAGGTCATTCTTCTAGTTGACTTCTGAAGCCTATACATACTGCGCCCGAAAGGAACTCTCCGATGCTTTCGCGCCTCACGAGAGAATCGGGCTTTGCACAGACACTCCCTACCTCTCCTCTCCCTCGCTGAGGATGTCCATCATTTTCATCAAGTCCTCTGATTCTTTGGGGAGACAAGTTGGGTACCCCTCAAACTTTCATCCTCCCGACTCTCTTCCAACTTGTGTCTTTCCAGTGCACTTTATCTTGTCTTCTGGCAAAAGAAGAAAGAAAACACTCCTGCTGGGCCATATCATTTTCTCACTTTTTTCTTCCTCACATCCAGATAGACATCTTTGACCTGGGAAATTTAGAACTTTTGTATATAGGAGGAAAACACAATTCATCAGTTAACGTGTCACGTATTAGGATCATTTCGGTGGCAAGTTTTGCCTGGCTGCAGGTGTGGGTGCCAGGGCCCTGGCTGTGTTTCTCTGTGAGTCTCTCCACTCGTCCGTCTTTGGTGATCTTCATCCTCTGGCTGGTGGCAAGACGGCTGCCCCAGCTTCAGGTGCCTTACCCTCACTTTCTTCTAGAAGAAGGAAAAGGCTGTTGCTTCCTGGGGTCTCTTAAGGGTGAGGTTATATTTCTCCAGCAGACTTCTCTCATATCTCATTGGTCAAAACTGGGTCACATGCCCACCTTAAAGCCATCCCGAGCCAAAAGAATTGGATCTGGCCAATCAAGAATCATCCTCGGGCTTCGCTGGTGGCGCAGTGATTGAGAGTCCGCCTGCCGATGCAGGGGACGTGGGTTCGCGCCCCGGTCCGGGAGGATCCCACGTGCCGCGGAGCGGCTGGGCCCGTGAGCCATGGCCGCTGAGCCTGCGCGTCCGGAGCCTGTGCTCCGCAATGGGAGAG